GAGGGCTGCTGATTACTGGTTTGCTTCCATGGCTTGTTTAACCTTCTTTCTTTCTTTCTCTCTTTCTTTCTTTTCTTTTCTTTTCTTTTTTCGAGACAGGGTTTCTCTGTGTAGCTTTGGAGCCTATCCTGGCACTCCCTCTGGAGACCAGGCTGGCCTTGAACTCACAGAGATCCGCCTGCCTCTGCCTCCCGAGTGCTGGGATTAAAGGCGTGCACCACCAAAGCGTAGCTTAACTTTCTTATAGAACCCAGGACCACCAGCCTCCAGGGATGGCACCACCCACAATTGGCTGGGCCCTCTCCCATCAATAACTAATTAAGAAAATGCCTTATAGGCAGATCTTATGGAGGCATTTTCTCAATTAAGATTCTCTCTTTTCAGATAACACTTGTTTGTATATCAACATAAGATTAGCCAGCACAACTAACCCTTGTTAGCTCGATACACAAACATGTCAGGCACACCTTTCCTTTCTTATTCATCCTCAAGGTCTCAAAATACAAATAGCTTTAAAAGGCCCACAGTCTTTATAACTTCCAACATGTTAAAATTTCAGTCTCTTTAAAATATCCAATCTCCCGAAAAATCCACAATCTCTTTAAAAAAAAGCTCAAAGTCTTTCAAGTATGGGCTCCTGCAAAAGTCAAAATTAAATACCTTTTTCAAGAGGGAAGAACCAGGGCACAGTCACAATCTGAACCAAGCAAAACCAAACTCCAAGAGTATAAACAACCCAATATCCAATTATCTGGGGTTCACTCATGTTCTTCTGGGATCCTCCAAGAAGCTTGAGTTACTTCTCCAGCTCTGCCCTCAACAGCACACACAACTTGTCTTCTACTCTCCAGATGGCCCCACCCCACTGCTACTGCTGTTCTCAATGGTCATCACATGATACTGGGGGCTTCTACTGCAACTGAGCTGCACTTTCACCAATAGCCTCTCATAGGCTCTCTTTATGATGCCAAGGCCTCAACTTCTTTCCATGACCCTTCCGTCTTAGGCCTTCAACTGCCACTGTGGCTGTACTATCACCAATGGCCTTTCCTGGTCTGTTACAGTGGCAAGTCTCAGCTCCTCTCCATGACCCTTCATGCCTTCAAAACCAATACCACTTGGGTGACTCTTATACCACCAAATTTGGCTGCCAGGGTAAGATACAACCTTGGGCACCTCTGTGTGCTGACTCCCAGTTAACACTTTCTGGAAGTTTTCACCTCAGTGATGCTGATCTCCTCTCAATCACTGCTAATTTCTTAGCTCCAGCTGACCAGCATCAATCATCTCGGTCATGCAAAAGGTTTTACTTCAATGGTGCCAGTCTCTTGTTAACCACTGCTGACTCTTCAGCCCCAGCTCACCAGAATGACAGAATCTGAATTCTTAATTCAAGGTAGTAAATGGCTTTGATAGGGTCTTTAAACCTCCCACTGAAGTTTCACAAGCCAGGTCACAATCTTCTACACTGCTCTCAACATTCTTATCTTTTTTGTTTTGTTTTATTTTTAGAGACAGGGTTTCTCTGTTTAACAACTCTGACTGTCCTGAAACTAGCTCTGTAGACCAGGCTGGCCTCCAATTCACAGAGATCTGCCTGTCTCTGCCTCCCAAGTGCTGGGATTAAAGGCGTGTGCCACCACTGCCTGGTTTAGAGGGATTTTTTGTAGTAGTTTAGATGATAAGAATGTTGTCAAGTGGTGGTGGTGCACACCTTTAATCCCAGCACTCAGGAGGCAGAGGCAGTTGCATTTCTGTGAGTTCAAGGCCAGCTGGTCTACAAGAGCTAGTTCCAGGACAGCTAGGTCTACACAGAGAAACCCTGTCTCAGAAAAAAAAAAAATCCCACTAAGCTCTCAACACTCAATGACTTTTCTAGCCCAAAGTTCCAAAGTCCTTGCATAGTCCTCCCCAAAACATGATCAGGTCTATCACAGCAAAACCCACTACACTACTTGTTTTAGTTAGTGTTTCTATTGCTTCAGTGAAACACTATAACCAGAAAAGCAAGTTGGGAGAAAGGGTTTATTTGCCTTACACTTCCATATCACTGTTCATCATTGAAGGAAGTCAGGACAGGAACCTGGAGGCAGGAGCTGATGCAGAGCCCCTAGAGGAGTGCTGCTTACTAGCTTGCTCTTCTTGGCTTGTTCAACCTGCTGTCTTATAGAATCCAGAACCACCAGACCAGGGATGGCACCACTCACAATAGAAAGGGGCCTCCCTCATCAGTCACTAATTTTAAAAATGCCCTACAGCTGGAACTTGTGGGGGTATTTTCTCAAGTAAGGTTCCCTCCTGTCAGTTAACTCTGGCTTTTGTTAACTCTCAGTCACCAGTTGATGGCTGTCTGGGGAAGAGGGAGGTGTGGACTTGCTAGAGGAAGTATGTAAGTGGAGCTTTTTGTCAGACTGCCACCTTCCAATAAACACACAGAGACTTAATATTAATTATAAATTCTCAGCCAATAGCTTAGGTTTGTCTCCAGCCAGCCCTTGCAATTAAATAAACCCATTTCTGTTCATCTATGTGCTGCCCTGAGGCTGGCTTATCTCATCTGTGAACTTTCCATATTGCTTCTTCTGAGACTGGCCTGTGGCTCTTTAGACTCTGCCCCTCTTCTTCCCAGCATTTTCTCTGCCCTGAAAATGCTGCCTAGCTATCAGTCAATCAGATTTTTATTAACAATGAGAGCAACACATTTTCACAGTGTACAGAAGGGTTATTCCACAGTAGAAGTATGAAACTGGAGACAGAGGATGAGGTTTCAAAAGATTTGTGCCAGTAGGAGTTAGCTTTCTCTGTTTCCTGTTTGTGGAACAAGATGTGTGCTCTCAGCTACTGCTCCAGCACCGTGCCTACAAGCCTGCTGCTATGCTCACTGACTTGACAGTGGTGATGGACTCCCTCTGGAACATATCTAGCACATTTCTTTGTTGCTCTTATGTAGGTGTGTTCCAGCAGACCACTTGGGATTGGGTAACCTATGGGAGAGCTCATCTCTGGAGAAAACTGATTCTCCGTCTCTCGGTAGTCACGGATTGCTGGTTGCTCTTTGCCTGCCAATGTTTCTCAACCTATGAGTTGCTTTGAGTTGAATATCAGATATTTACATCACAATTCATAACAGTAACAAAGTTACCGTTTTGAAGTAGTAACACAGTAATTTTCTGGTTGGTTATGTGAGCCCCTGTCACCATAACATGAGGAACTGTATTAAAGGGTCACAGCATTAGGAAGGTTGAGAACCAGTGGAAGCCTTTATTATTTTTTATCCTCCTATTCCCATCAGCTCCCCAAGGTTGCTCGTACCAAGTCCTCATCCCTTTTCATGTTTTGTTTTTGTGTTTTTTTTTTTGTTTTGTTTTTGTAACTCATTGGAGAAACAAAATAACTGTTCGAAAACATTCCCTACCTAATTTAATTAACTAGTCAGCCCTTAACACTACACTGTTAGGTAACAATCTAAACACACATACACACACACACACACACACACACACACACACACACACACACAGTGATTAAAAAAAATTCCGTCGCTGTTTTGAGCTTGAATGGGGCATAAGTAAATGTATATATTATGCTATGTATTTGAGCACGTTTCCTGTCCTAAAATAATTACTTCCTCAGCAACAGAACTCGGTGGTGGGATTACTGGTGTTTGAAAAATGGAATGACAGCTTGGTAAACAGAAGCTGAGAGGGTGACGTCCTGCATGTAAATCAGACAGCCGCGGTTTCAGTAATGGCCATGGCAATGGAAAACAGGGCTGCTAGTCCTTTAATCAAATCCCGCAGATATTGCAGCAGCCGCCTTCTGAAGACTCCGTCTTCCTCCGCTACTCTTATAAGTCATCTGTGTTGTATTGATCTACGCAAGAAAATTTAACACTACTATCAATCTTCCAAATAAGGACCAATGGCTTAAGGTTCCAATTCCAAACAAGAACCTCGGGGCCGGGTCTCAAAAGACGGGCGTTTGTGATTTATAACTAAAGTAGATTCACCCCGGCTTCCGTACGAGCGGTTTCTAGGTAACAACGGGTCCTTCCGTTTCAGCCGAGAAAGGAGGAGGGGGAGGAGAAGCTATGAGGCGTCTACTCGAATCCCCGAAGTATATTGTCTAAAGAGCAACTATAGCCAGACACGCTTTAGGCATTTTCTTCACCTAGATATATTGGCAAAGAGAATGTGAAACTCACTCTCTTTCCACAGTTCTTAAGCCCGCGCACCACGCACGTTGTGCTCTCCGCTTCGCCGGAAGCTTTCAGTCAGGCAGCTCCTAGACGCCCGGAGGGGGTCCTCATTTTGAAAACAGGAGCGGGCCAATCAGATGCGGAGCGTCGTTTGGCGCTGGCGTTTGAGCAGAGCTGGGGCTGCCGAGGTGCGGCGGTGGCGGCGGCGGCTGGGTGTCTGCGGAGGAGGTGGGGCGGCGGCATGCACTGAGCCACTGAGCTGCAGCAGGCGGGGGCCGCACGCGGCCTGATGGGCTAGGGGAGAGGCAGCGTGGGACACGGGGTGACGGCGGGGACCAGCCCGGGCGGGGACCGGGACTGGGGGATCCCTGAGCAGCCGGCTGGCCCGGCTGGGGGGGACGGGTCTAAGGCTGCGGTTCCGTCTCTAAGATCCGAGCGGTCGGCGTCGTCCTGAGTGGAAGAGGCTAGGTGGGAGCGCCCGGAAGCGTGAGAAACCCGTCGGAGGGAACGGAAGAGTCTGAGAAGGAAGGGAAGGTTTGTGTACGTAGCTGACAGGGCCGAGTGACCCGGGAAGAAGGTCGGTGGAAGTGAAGCCAGAGGGCCGTGTGGCCGGAGAGAAGAAGAAGGTCTGTGTACGTGGATAGAGAGAGGGTCGAAGGAAAGCCGTGGAAGTGGCCGGGGTCTGGGGCCGGAAGAGAACCAGACGCGGTGGCCGGAAGGCATCGGGGGCAGAGCTCAAGCCTGAAGGTGTTTGGAAGTTGGAAGAGTTGGTGGCAGACGAAAGTCAGGACCCGGAGTCGGCCTCGGAGAGTGGGAGACGCGTTCGGGATGCGGGATCAGAGGGTGGTCAGATTGGCGCTGCTGCAGCAGCTTCGTGCCGTCTATGGCATTAAGGTCAAGGGTGGCCGCGGGCAGTGTGACCGCAGGAGACACGAAACTGCAGCCACGGAAATAAGGGTAAGTTAAAACGTGTCAGGAGGGGGACACACCTGGCTTGTTCTGGATAAGAAAGACACGTGGTCAGAAGTGTCAAATTCAGTCTGTGTGGTCGTTTGTCTATGTTTAAGTCCCCACCCCCCAGCAACTTTTCAGCACTGAAAATTGCTCTATTTCTCGCTGTAGCACCATTTTGGATCGGGACGCTACTAGATGTCAGTAGTATCTCTCCGTTGTGACAATCATCACGGCTCCTTATAATGCCGATCTATTTTTGCGACGCTAGGAATAGGATCCTGGGCCTCCAATTTAAACGCTGTACTACTGACCTGATAATCTATTGTGTTTTAAACAAGCAGTATGTGGGGAGGGAAACAAACTACCTTCTGCCAGGCTGGGGTGGGCAGTCAGTTCATTGCAAAATGAATCAGTAGATGAGAAACTCAGCCTAAGCTTTAGAAATAGGCCTCATGTGGTCTTTCTGTATTCAGCAACTTATGAAAACAGGCCTGCTGCCTGACCATATCATACTTCCTGGTCTCTTTAGCAGTGTAAGCATTAGCCACAAACACCAGTCCTACACTGAAACAAACCTGGTTTTTGTGGGGTTTTTTAGTAAACAAATTGAGAATAGTGAGTTGTAGGTTTGTTTAGTGATTTATCACTGAGTTATATTTCTAAAGTTTCACGATCCCTCCCTCCAATTACTTCTGTGTGTGCACAGGCCCACTCATGCATCTAAGGGTCAGAGGACAACATGAATGAATTAGTTCTCTCCTGTATGTTATGTGGGCCTTGAGGCTCAAACTCAGGTTGTTAGGCTTGGCAGCAAATGCTCTCTACTCAAACTATTTTACTCCTCCCCCTCCCCTATTAATTTAGTGGTAGGAATTTGGGGTGAGATTTTATTTATTGAATAATCAAGACTTTAAATGTGAAGAACTGAATACAAGTCATTTTAAAAGTATGTGGGAAATTTATTAGTACTTCCGTAGTATTTGAAGACAAAAACTAATACAATTTGTATAATTGTGTTGTTTGATGAGTATTATGTAGCCCAGACTGAACTTGAACTCACTAGCTAAAGCTGCCTTGAGTTCCTGGTCCTCCTACCTCCACCCCCTAGTGTTGGGACAAAAGAGATATGTCACCACACCCATTCAATGTGTTTGTTTTATGGTTAAAAATTACAGTGGTTACTTGGGTTGGTAAAACTGCCTTTCCACAACCTTTAGTATAGGTATTTGCTTTTTTTTTTCTTTCATTCCTTAACAAATCCTGACACTTGCCTTTAGAGACAGGCCCCAGTTTTACAGTTAACTCTGAATGTGGACTGCTGGTTGGGTTCTCAGGGAGTTTTAGTACCTTATTCTGTAAAGTGGTAATTCCTGGTAAGTTCTATAAGTTGGCCTAGCATAGTATCTGTCACTTGCCACATTTTCAACTGTGACAATTATCCATGTTCTAATTAATGGTTGTGTGATATAAATTCAGCAGTGAATGCTACTAACATTCTAATGAGATATAATTCTTTCTATAATACAATGACATAAGATTCAGGTTCAGACATGAGAGACAGAGAATGTTATAATGATTCCATTAAGGTTGCACAGCTAAAAGTTAGGAAAGCCAGGGTTTGAAAAGTGTCAGTCTTGCCAGTGGGAACCTAATTTCTAACTGTTCTCCACTGGGTGGGCTTTCTTGCTTGGAATATTTGTCAGGATAAGCCAGGTGGTAGAAACAGTACTGGTGAAATTTCATTACTGTGTTGAATCATTTGCCTAATGATCCCAATCAGAAGTGCATGGAGAGCAGGTTCATCTGAACTAAATCAGCACAAGAGAGATTAGTGTACACTGACTTACTTTTGAGTATGCAGGCCTATACAGGCTTGACTTTCAATCCACTGGAAAGCCACGGTCTTCATACTCATTGACACATTTTTAGGAAATTAGTTATCATGTAGGAAGAAATAGTAAGATAGTGGAAATGTAGAAAAAAATACCCAAACACGAGTGTACTTTTGGGATCCTCACTGTTTTAAACTGAATGAATGTCGATTCTTCAGAGTGAGTCTCAGGATAGCTAAATGAAAATTGTCTGAAATGTTTGCAGTCTTGGCTTGATGTACCTCAGGATACAGGTGAAAAGCATGCTGCTGTACAATGTGGAAGAATTATAAGGTCTAAAAATATCCACATCTGATTCATTTTAGGAAGCACTCAAATGTGACAAGAATTCAGGAGTTACTGTTTTACTTACCAACTGATTTAGTCTTTTGTGTGAATTAGTAGGCTATAGAGACAAGTATAAATAAGGTCACTGAAGAAATGCATAGAGTAGGGAGGTATTAGTATTTGGACTAAATTTGGTCTAAGAATTAACCACTCATTGTATCAGTTTCCCATAATGAAGTGAAAGACTGACTGAAGGAACAAGATTTTATCTTGGTGTCTTCGTACTCAAAACATTTAGCTTCATGTCTGTAGGAGATACTTGTTTTGTGTTGACTGATAGCTTGGAATTCATTTCTGGTAATGTTTTCATTCCTAAAATCTTTTTTTGCCTGATGTTAAAGATTTTATTTTATGCCTAATACTGTGTTCAGTAACTGAGTTTGTCATTTTAGGGTAAGGTATTTGGAGTTCCTTTTAATTCACTGCCTCATTCAGTTGTTCCAGAATATGGACACATTCCAAGGTAAGCAGTCTTCAAAAGGAAGAGAATATTTCAAACGGGTTTTAAAAATAGTTTCAAAGGTTTCAAAGTGGTTGATTGATGCATACATTTGCTTAAACCCACATTATTTCATCTCTGAACATCGCCTATTATAAAAAATAAAAACATGGGTCTAAAGATGACTTAGTGACTAAAGATGCTTGCATCATAAGCCTGGTGCTGAACCCATGTATAAAGGTGGGAGGAGAACACCCAGCTTCACAGAATTTTTCTCTGGCCTCTAATGTGGGTACTATGGCTCACTCGCACACACATACACATCATACATTTGTTGGTATAGCAGTTTCAGGGTCTTAGATCCAGGAGTAATGACTGAAAGTTTGTTGTAATCTCTGGACTACCTGTAAGTAAACAAAAACAACTGTCTTTACCCTCTTCTAGGACTGACATACAGGGACTCGGTGTCAGCACAACCAACTCTCATTGCTTGTAGCTGGCATACTTTCTAATTTCTTGATGCCAGCTGTTGAATCTAACATTGACATTGGTTGAGATCAGTTCATAGGTAAAATTGAACCTTCACCCCTTAATGTGAGAATGATTATAAGGACAGAGAAGGATTCTACTTTTCCAAGGAAAAAAATGTTAGAATGGGAAAACCTTGGTGTTGTTTTGGGGAAAATGTAAAGCTGTGCATGCTATACCAGTTCACTACTCATGGAGAGACTGTGGATAGAGAAGCCTTGGGCCGGGTAGGCATGGTGGTGAATACTTGCAATCCCAACACTTGGCAGATGGAGATTGGAAGTCACCCTGGCTACATAGCAAGTGTGAGGACAGTCTGGGCTACATGAAATTTTGCCTTCAAATTGGACAAAACTCAAGTCATTCTACATGTAGACACTAGGTAGAGGGGAACATAAAAGGAGCTTGAGAAAGAACAGTTTAGGGAGATAGCAAAAAAAACAGGAGGAATGGCGAAAGGAACATTTTGGATCGGGGGAGCAGTCAGGTGTGTCACATGTGGATGAGTTAAGCAATATGAGGAGAAAATGAATTGACAGTTGATTTGGTGAGACAAAGGGCATTGGTGTCCTTGGTGGAAACTGTTTGACAGGAGTAGTGAGGGTGAATGTGGAGATGGGGATGTGATAAACAAGGCAAGTCTTGTGTTATGAAGAGAGACAGAAGAGTGCAGACTCGATAGTCTCAACACATTTGTGTTGAACAGAGAGAGCCTGGAGTATGTGGAGTCCTAGTGAGTGTGTGCTGTTCACATGGGCACAGTCATGTCAAGTCAAGGCCCCTAGCAAGGAATGGAAAGGCCTTTCCCACAGGGTGAGGCTCAGAGGGAAATGACAAAGCCTTCTTTGGGGGACTGAGGACAGGTATTGACGGAAAATGTCCACCATAGCCCTCTACCACCCAGAATGGAAACTGGTGTTCTTCAAAGACTGCTCTTTGGACAGTAGCTAAACTTGTCTCCCTTGATCCAGCTGTAGACTGCAAATCCTGCCTCTTTGTTTTTTTCTATGTAGTAACCCTGCCTGCTTATTCAGCAGGATGCAGTAACCTCACCTCCCTGTTCAAGTCTGTATAGTAATAAACACTGAGCCTGAGGGGGTTAGTCCACCTGACCCCACCTCTTTGTGTCTGCCTTTTCTTCATTCTTTTGCTACCCTTTGTTAATTCTTTCCCTGGAGCCTTGCTGGATTGAGCCTTTACTCATTGCCTTTGCCATGAGTAAAGCTATAGACCTTAGAGAAAAAGTTAGGAAGCAAGGAGAACAAGTAAATATTTTGTTACAAGGATCAAGTGCAATTTTGGCATTGGAGCTGGAAAAGCATAATGCCTGACCTGCCTATGTATTAGCAGTAGAATGAGGTTATTGAGGTGGATACCTGGACCCTTGAAAACATGGTTTCTCTTTCAGCTTTCTTGTTGATGCATGTACATCTTTAGAAGAGCATATTCACACAGAAGGGCTTTTTAGGAAGTCGGGATCTGTAACTCGTTTAAAGGCATTAAAGGTAAGCATAGTTTTGAACTATACTTTTTCCTTAGTACTGTTCCTGATTTGATTTTTACAGTTGAAACATTTTTCTAAAAGCCACTTAATACTGCTTTAAATATACAACATGCTTTCACATTTGTGTACTTCATTATTATGAAATACTAAAGTGAAAAGAAAACCCAGCTTTATTGTTTTTAGGCTTTTAAGGGACTAGTATTTTAAACAAAAGTTAGGAGAACCTTTTAGATATGACAACTATTACTGTATTTAATACACTCGTAAGTTTCTAGAGTGCCCCAGATTCCTGTGTCTTTTCAGAGTAAGCTGGACCATGGTGAAGCCTGCCTGTCTTCTGCACTTCCATGTGATGTGGCAGGTCTGCTGAAACAGTTCTTCAGGGAGCTGCCAGAGCCAGTCCTCCCAGCTTATCTGCATGAAGCACTGTTCAAAGCGCAACAGTTAGGGGCCGAGGAGAAGAATAAAGCTACATTGTTGCTGTCCTGTCTGGTGGCAGACCCTATAGTTGATGTATTAAGATACTTCTTTAACTTTCTCAAGAATGTTTCTCTTAGGTAAGTGCTAATTAAAAGCCTCAAGAATGAGTTTCATTTCTCAGTTACCTGAAGTTGTTCCTAGTAGTCAATAAATTTAATCTGGAATGAAAAAATTTTTAATGGGTCTTTACTATAGGAAATATACTCTGTCATTTAAGAAATAGTGTACCAACTGATTTAATATTTTGTTATCATTAGAGTCTTAATTAGGGATGTTTTAAGGGATTATTGGTATATATATTTTTTTTTTTTTTGGTTTTTCGAGACAGGGTTTCTCTGTGTAGCTTTGGAGCCTATCCTGACACTCTCACTGGAGACCAGGCTGGTTTCGAACTCACAGACATCCGCCTGCCTCCCAAGTGCTGGGATTAAAGGAGTGTGCCACCAACGCCCAGCGGCTTATTGGAATTTACGAGATTCATTTTCCACTGGATGGATTCTGATTTGATTACTGTGCTTTTAAAATATTTGTCTTTTGTTTCTTAATTTTCCTCCTCCTGCTTCCAGTGTACCTACTTGTTTTGTTTATACTTGATGCTATCTTCTAATACTTTATTTTCTATGTGTGGCTCTAAAAAGCAGATAAACAAACACAATCTGTGTGAAAGAATGAAGTGTGAACTGATTAGTGTGGTTTATATTTAAATCTGCGAGACCATATATTTTGGATTCTCATGTTCTTTTGTTTTGTGGTGCCTTCTGCATAGTAGATAGACTCTACATTTAAACCATACCCTTAGGGTTCCTTCTCTCTTTCCATTGTCCCTTGCTTCTTCTGGCCACTCTGGATGGATAGATGAGGGCTGTTTTTCTTGTAGGTGACAGGTAAAGTAAATATGTTCATATGTTATTTTAACTTCCTGGAGTTCTACCCTTTTCGCCATTTAATAAAGCCTTCTGTTATCAGGGCAAGTGAGAATAAAATGGATAGCAGCAATCTTGCAGTAATATTCGCACCAAATCTTCTTCAGACAAGTGAAGGCCATGAGAAGATGTCTGCTAACACAGAGAAAAAGCTACGATTGCAGGCAGCTGTAGTACAGACTCTCATTGATTGTGCATCGGATATTGGTAAGGGGTAGTTGCATTGTCAAGTATTAGAACTGATTTATTTAAATGAGGGAGATCCTGGCTTCCAACTGAAGACCACTATTAGCAAGGGACTATATTATTACCTATACTTTAGGATGGGGAAGGAAAAAATAATTGTCTTATGCACATTTTGACTTAGGGCGTGTGCCAGATTTTATCCTGGAAAAGATACCGGCCATGTTAGGTATTGATGGTCTATGTAATACTCCATCCCTGGAAGGCTTTGAAGAAGGAGAATATGAAACTCCAGGTGAATGTAAGAGAAAAAGAAGACAAAGTGTTGGAGGTAATTGATGCTCTCATTTTAGGGTGGTACCGAGACTTCATCTAAAATGCAATTCAGCATTAGGTGTGGTGTGTGTGTCTTTTGAATGCCTAGTTGGAGAAATAAAACACAGGCATATTAGAAATTCAAATGATGATACAATTTGATATTAAGCACTAAGTCTTTAGCAGAAGATTACCTGGACTGTAATCACCAAGGACTTGTCAAAGAGAAGGTCAAACTAAGCCTTATTTATTGTGCTGGGAATTGAAACTAGGCCCTCATACAGGCTAGGCAAGCACTAAGCCTCTGAACTATATCCTCAGCCCTCAACATGGGTCTTCTTGAAGGGTCGGTAGAATACAGAGAAATTGAGTAAAAGAACAGAAAACTTGTATTTTGTATTAGTTGAGAGATGTAGAATAGACACACATCTATCCTAGGAACAGATCCATGTACTTGGAGTGATGTTCACTTGTGTACATTTGATGATATAATGTGGAACTAGAGTCCAGGCCAAAGACTGTTACCTGGGTGTTGGCTAAATGTTGAAGGGTTATAATTTGAGGTATGATGTGATTGAAGTATGTTGTAAATTTAATTTGCAAAACTGACACCCGCAGGTAGAGAATAGTAAGGTATGGCAACAATATGGGTACCAGATCTTTGATGCACTTAATTGTGTGAATGACGAGTGTGAAGTTAGTAGTGAAGGAAATGCTACTAAAGCAGATTCAAAACAAGCAAAATTCTATGGTGGTGATAGTAGTTCCTGTCTCCTCTCAGTCAGGAAGAGTAAGGCTTATCTCTTCCTTGGGAGACTCTCCCCAATGTGTTGTGCACACGTGTGTGTTTATGTGCAAGAGTAGTTATGGGGAAATCAGGACAACCTTGGAAGGCAGTCCTGCTTTCTACCTGTTTTGAGATGGGCTCCCCTGTTTACTGCTGTGCACTCCAGGCTAGCTGTCCCACAAGCTTCTGGGGATTCTGTTGTCTCTGCCTCCCAGTCGCCCCAAAGGAATACCAAGACAATAGATACTGCCTACAACCATAACCAGCTTTAACAGGGGTTCTAGGGATTTGAACTTAGATCCTCACACTTACACATAGCATGCACTTTATCCACTGATCCATTTCCTCACCTGATTTCTTATCTTTTGATTATCATTCCTTTTGGAATCTTTTGGCTCAGTTATTGCTTTCTTTCTGTTAGTTTTGTAGGAACCTTTTATTCTCTGTTACTTTCATAGGGCTGCTGTGTTGCAGTACACAATTTCAAAGGACACAAATTGAATGGCTTAGAAATCACAGTTCAAGAGGCCAGTCTAAAAGTGTCAGTTGGGCTCTGCAATCTGTAGGGCAGATAGCTTTCTTTCCTCTCCTGGCTTCTAGAACACAACTCTATCTATAAAACATCCTGCCACAAATGTAAATATTTCTTAGACATGGGTCATCTTTACTATTGGTACAAGGCAGATTAAATTACCTTTAATTTATGTAACTATATTTGCCTTGCATTTCAGATTTTGTTAATGGAGCCCTAAATAAATTTAAATCTAGCAGAACACCGTCTGTTACACCTCAACAAGATAGAACTGGTAGGTGTTTGTTATTTATAAACATTTAAATGAAAATGTATTTAGTACTGTGTAAAAACAATTATAATAACTGCCTAATTTTAATAATCAAATCTCAGTACTAATTTCCTTAAATTAGTATTGTACTTTGTATACTATGTTATGATATTATTAGTTACATTGCGTGTGATGACAGCAAAATTGTAAGAATGTTAGAATTTATCTGTTGTCTTGTTTTTGTTTTTTGTTTTGTTTTTTGAGACAGGGCTTCTCTGTATTGTTTTGGAGCCTGTCCTGGAACTCTCTGTAGACCAGGCTGGCCTCGAAAACTCAGAGATCCGCCTGCCTCTGCCTCCTGAGTTAAGGTATGCACCACCAACACCCAGCTTGTTGTCATTTTTAAAATAATCCTAATCATTTTCATTTGCTTATAATTTAGAGCATTTGAAAATGGTTCAACCTCACTTTGTGTCAGAATAAGAAAGTTATGCATCCTATATTCTGATGTTTATACCAGTTTGCTTGCTGGTAAATGTATTCAGCCAATACAGACAACATGATGCTTTGTTTTTCAGTGAAATGAATTGGTTAACATTCACTTATGAGAAGCAAATAGCAGAGTTAATTTTATCTTTATATCTAGAATGTAGTTCTTTTCCCTGTATTGATATTCTTTCATCTGTGTTATATATGTCCTTTGCTCTATTTAGTTTAAGTTACTGCTGCTTATTAAGAGCCTTGCCAAGCTCAATATGGTTGCTTCTGTCCTTCACCCCCAGTACTTGGGAGAACAAGGCAGAAGAATCTGATGTTTAAGTCCTGTCTAGGCAACATAGTAAGGAAGCCCCATCTCAATAAAGAAAAAAAAGAATCTTGCCTTTTTGTAGCTTTGCTATTTTTATTTTAAATAATTGCAAAACATTAATTTAGTTATCATGAAAATGTATCACTCACATTGTTTTGTTAACCTCTAAGAAATCAAAGCTTTTGTGTGTTTCCATCTGTGTGGAGAAGCAAGTTGTTTCTTGTGTGGTTTTCAGCCCAGGCCTCTGTATCACCATTGATTCTCACACCAAGTATTAAACGTAAACTGCCAGGAGAGTCTTCTCATGCCTTCTCAAGTAAGAAAAGGAAGTCCATCAAACACAACTTGAACTTTGAACTGTTGCCAAGTCATCTCTTCAGCAGCAATTCTACACCAGTATCAGGTAGCAAAGAGAATCTTTTCTCATTGGGTTGTAAACATTAACATGAGAACCTGGTCTCAACAAATAACTACTAAGATTAATACGACCCACAAGAGCTAGAAGTTACATTTTTCCTAGTTTCTGTATTTAATAAGGTCTACTCTTAAAATAAACATTAATTTAATAAAAATAAAATGTTTATGTTTTATGGGCAAGTCCAGTGAAGTTATGTGAATAACTGAGTATTTGGGCGTCTGCAGATGGCATGGGTACTCAGAGTTTATGTCACCAGACATGCTGGATCCTGTTTCCTCTGGATCTATATGTAGGGCTAAGCTAAGGTCAGAAGTTGCTCCAAGTAGGTTTATAAGCCTTAGTACTTGGCAAGACAATTAGCATATCATTTCAGACATTTGTTCTTTCTCCATTTCAGGTTACCAAAATCCTATTAGCTATTGGATATACCTTAGACTTAGTTTGTTCTTGAACACACAATATAAATTGGCTTATGTTAACTTTATCATCAACCAAAAGTGAAATGAAACCTAAAACCTAGGGGTCCCCTATCTCAAACTTGTCACATTTAGTCAATCTTAGTCTTTTAGATTTTAATAATTGTTTGTTTCAGGCACTATTGAATGTTTCATTTTGAGCTCATTAAGAGCTGACTTATGAGTTCTTCCCCAAAGTCTTTTGGAATTGTTTCTTTTGATGGTTCATACTTTGCTTAAATTGAACAGAATAGCAAGTTATGGTTTTCCAGAAGGAAAACCCTTCCTTAGGGGTTCTGCAGGGCTCATTACAGTAGAACAACAGGAAGGTTGATGACAAAGTGTCTTCAGTAATCACAGGTTGGAGACTTAAACTCTTTTTTGGTTTTTCGAGACCAGGTTTCTCTATGTAGCTTTGGAGTCTGTCCTGGCACTCACTATAGGTCAGACTGGCCGCAAACTAACATAGATCTGCCTGTGTGCTACCAATTCCTGGCACAGGACTAAAACACTTAAAGAAACTTCATACTATGTGATATTTAAAATCCCACCCAGAGTGCAAGACTTCCCAGTGGCCACTGGGAACTGTAGTCTTTCTGTTAGCTGCTCTCCAAAGTGGAAATATTCTTGTGTTACTTTGAACTGAGTTTGAGTTTGAATCACCAGTGAATTTTTTATGAAACATTCAGCAGTAATTCTATTGCTAGTAGCTTTGGCCTGCTTACTTAGTAATCAATAGGAAATATCTGTAAGGATGAAAATAGGTTGGTTTCTTCATTTGAGTTTTTAAAAGACCCTCTTTTTTTCCTCAGTGCATAAAGACATTATTCTACAGTTCATGTGCTACTATTTGTAACTTTGTGTGTGATTAATTTATATTATTTTTCCTATTCCAACTGCTTCTTGTGACTACATACCTTTTCAAGATGACTAAGTCACATTGTATGTGTTATATTGACTTCTGAAATGTTCTTTGTCTGATGCATGCAGAAGTCACTAAGATCATTATTTTTGTTAATAAACAAACTCATGAATGTCTCTTTGGACACTTTATGGATTTTTTTATTAGTAACTAATGAATTGATAATTTGTGTTTGTTGGAAGTTTACTGTATAGGACATAAGTCAAATGTACCTCTGTTTGTATTTTTTGTATAACAGATTGTATGATATAGGTAAGATTGAATAATGAAATTGAACATTGTTGTAAACATGAACTACTTACTTAGAACCTGGCAGGCAGAGCTTTAGATTACTAGTTTTTTGTTTGCTTGACAAAAATTATACTTGTAGATGTTTGGCTAGCAATTGTATCCTGAATGCCCACATTCAACATTTGCAAATAGATTAGTTTTTTTGTTTGTTTTTTAATAGCATATATTATGCATAATGGGTTCTATTATGTAATTTCCTTTCGTGTATATATCCCTTCCCACGTCTAACAATCCCTGACTAATATTTATGTTCATCAAGAAACCATATTTCCAGAGTCTGAAACCATTTAGCAAGTGATAGGTAAATTCTAATCTGTTTCCACAGCTTGCTCTTCAAAGTTTGGCAGGGTGTATCCCTCCCTTATTACTAAGTGTTTAAAGCAGGACTCATTTAAAATTAATAATCTAAACTTTTAATTGGCAACTGTTAAATAGGAGATTAATAGTTTCCTTTTTGGTCCGTCACTGATACCTGACACCTCTAACCCAGAAATTGTGTTTCTTGTTGCAGCTTTGGTGATAGAAATTAGACTTAAATCTACTTGCTGCAGTTTTATACTTTGAAAAGAAAGTAAGTATGTGTGATACATTGCCTGTCCTTCTTTTCTAGTTCACTTTGATACAAGCCCAGAAGGGTCATCTCAGAATTCGTTCTCACCTATCATCATGAGTGGAAACCACTTGATCAATACAGGCCTAAGGCGAAGTAAAAGGATTGCGAGCAAAAAAGTTTATAGGTAATCTGTCCGAGACATTGTCTTTTCACTGGGTGACCAATGTTGTGTGTGCTGTCATTCTACCAAAAATTACAGTTTAATCATATTTTTTAAATCCCTTTTTCTATATGTTCTTATTAATTATAGGCCATTTTTATACCATCAGAAAGAAGAAAAAAAGGAACTAAATTGAATTCACTGTCCTTGATAAAAATCCTTGTCTGTGTTGATTGTGTAATTTTAAATTGTTAGTTTTGCAAGTAATATGTTCTACTGACTCTGGTTTATAAGTGACTAAGGATGATAAGTCATTTTCATATGTAGATAAGCATTTATATATAGTATGTTCAAGTTTAAGTCATTTTTAAAATTTTTATTTAGTTAATAACATGATTTTGAACTTAGATTTTTATCTTGCAATAATTTCTGATATTTATGCCAGAAACTGACATTTTAAATTTCACTCTTCAGGGTAGAATCAGGAAAAGCAGGCTGCTTCTCTCCTAAAGTAAGTCGTAAAGAAAAGGTCCGAAGATCTCTTCGTCTGAAATTTAGTCTGGGAAAAAACAGAGATTCAGTAAGTGTCTTGTCCTTGGGACCGAATACCCAACAAGCTGCACAAAGGAGAAATTCTTTTGATCCATGTTTTTGGAAGTGTCAGTTCATTCTGGTGGGAAGAATGTGGCAAGCCCTTTACATCATGGTGGCTAGGAAACAGACAAAAGGAATGCAGAAAGGGGCCAGGGTGCCATCAAAATCTAACCACGTATCCTTCCCTCCAGCTCCCATTTTTCACCATTTCCCAATTATGCTATCAGATCATGAATCATTAATGGATGCATTCATTCATTGGGCCAGAACCCTCTTCTAATAACCTCTGGAAACATCGCAGATACCCCTAGAGGTGTGCCTATCTTATGTTACAGGCATTTCTTATTCAAGTCCACAATTAAGAACATCATAGTGGCATATGGCTTTATTAGTATGTTAGCATAACACATCATAGTAACATAGAGTTGTAGACTTAGAATACCCTCTCACATTTGCCTTCCTTCCAAAATAGTGAACCATGTACTACTACTCTTTATCGCCATTTTAATCTCAGAACTCCACTAAAACTGCTTTCATTGAGATGGGGGGCTGTACTCCAATTTCAGAACTTAGGAGGCAGAGGCAGGTAGATCTCTGTGAGTTCATGGCCAGCCTGGTCTTCAGAGTGAATTCTGGGACAGTCGGGGATACATAATGAGACTCTGTCTCAAAAACAAGCCTGGTGGTGGTGGTGCATGTCTTTGATCCCTGCACTCGGGAGGCAGAGGCACTCGGATCTCTGTGAGTTTGAGGACAGCCTGGTCTACAAAGTGAGTTCCAGGACAGGCTCCAAAGCTACACAGAAACCCTGTCTCAAAAAAACAAAAGCTAAACAAAATAAAGCAAAGCAGGATCGCCTGTGAGTTCAGTATTCTCAATCAAGCAGTCAAGAATTGCTGACTAATAGGCCTTCCTCTCCCCTCCTGTGGGCCTGTGGGCAGCATTTGGCTCCAGGCCCCTTTTGTTTACTTTCCTAGTTTCAAATTCCTTTGTAACAATATCCAATACTATTTGTCTAAGACATCCACATTAAGATCTCTGGATCACAATACTCTCCTAAAGTATTTGCTTGCAGGGTTTTTTGTTGTTTGGCTTGGTTTGGATTTGGGAAGTGTTTGTTTTTTTATCATGCTTAAGCATGAATTGTGGCACTGAACTCTGATTTCTGCTTATTCCATCCTTGGATATCTGTTTAGGTAAAACCTATTCTGCACACTGTTCCTTGTTCTGCTGTCCCTACAACCAAGCCCCCTTTTCCCAACTGTCACCCATTGCAGCTATGCAGCTTGCTCTTCCAGCCACTCAAGCCAGACTGCACGCTCTTGGTTCCTCTCTCACATTCTCATGTGCCACATCTTGTCTGTTAGAGAAGCCTGCTTCATTGCTGCTCTTAGCTATCTTTAAATTGTCTTTTCTCCTGAATAACTGCAGTTAATCACCTAGTAGGTCTGACTGTTTTCTGTGCACCACCACCACCCAGCTCAATGGTACTTTTTATTCTGATTGAGACCCCAACCTCCTACATTAAGCTGCAAGCTCCACATGATCTGTGCCCAGAGCACGTCTGGCGCTCTGCTCCTGGCATTCTGCCCCCTCACTCTGCTGCTTTCTTCCTGACTCGCTCCAGCTGTAGAGGCTGCACTGGTAACTTCTCCCTAAAATGCAGTTGTCCAAAAGGCTTTTATTGCTTTTGCCCTTTACCTTCTCATCACCCTGTGTGAAATTACACTCCCTCCATCACCAGCAATGTCCTCCTTACTATTTTACTGTTCTCCATATCACTTTTGACCTTGGATTATATTGATGTGATGTAATGAACTGTTTTGATCTAAATCTCATCTTCAAGTGTAAATACTGTGAGGGCAAAATTTTTACCATCCTAAACCCCCCCCCACCCCACCCCACACACAATTTGTCAACAAGCCCTGGCACAGAAAGGAAGCAATACAAGAACTTATGCTTTTATAATAATGGCTATGTTGTGCTGTTTTTGTTTTACTTCATAAAATATCGCCTAATGTTTACACATTTCACCAGCAGACAAGAATATTTGTGTTTCTTACGAAGTTATCCTTCAGTTACATAAGCCTTTTTAAGTTAGTTACTAATTTTAATACTTAATTGGTTTTAATATTTTTAACTAACTGGATTTACTTAACTAAACCATTTTCAAATTTTCTTTTCTGTACAGAATGGATGTTCTGTCACCAATAGATATGAAAATGTTGGTCGACGACTAGCGAATCAACAAAATCTAAAAAATAGGATTGAATCTGTAAAAACAGGTCTGCTTTTTAGCCCAGATACTGATGAAGGATTGCTAAAGAAAGGTACATTTACACGATACTGTAGAATTTTGTCCAAAATTTTAGTAGCAATTTAAGATAAAATATATTACTTTATGTTCTAGAAGTTTAAAGTTCTTATTTGAATGGTGAAAATATTTGACTTGACAGTGTAGTTTTCTGTCAACAGTTGGAAGATGCCTATAAATGTCAACATTGGACATTTCTTTCTTAAATTATAACATCTTCAATGCTTTGGAAATAATGCTTAGTACCTTTACTTGTGATGTGTTTGGATATTTCAAAACTAGGTAAGACGTAAAGTATTAAAATCATCAACTGGTTTATTTTAGATGCAGAAAAGATGAGCAAATCTGAGGAACACTTACTAACTCCAGATGGACTAGCTGGAACAGGTTATAGGATGTCTTGGACAGAACCCGGTAATTCAAGTTTTCAAGACATGGGTGCAAATGGAGCTTCTCCAGTCATGAGAAATCTTGAGGTGAAGCACTTTTCTTTGGAGTCCGATGTTACTGTTGAAAACTCACCGGCTGTGTCATGTGAGCTCAGACTGTCGACCTTCCCCAGCCAATCTGACAGCAGTGTGCTTGGGACTTCCCTCAGTGGGGATGAAGGTAACCTGACCTCTGAGACCTTGCTGAAGATTCAAAAAGCGTTTTCCGAATCGGGGAGTGATCTTAATACCCTGATAAGTCATGGGCAGTCGTCAGTAACAAATATAGGGGAAGAAAGTGGAGCCAGTGATGTGACTGTGAGAGAATCAAGAGAATCAAAGGAGAATGTTGGGAGCTACACCGAGAAAGATGAGAACTGTGTTCCAGAAAGAGATTTCTCATTGTATCAAAGTCCAAAATGTGGTGGAGAAGCAAGCATGAAGGTGGAATATGAAGAAGATATCCATTCACAAGTTCCAAAAGCTGACTTAATCCAGCAAGAGTTCCCCAGTGAGGAACAAACAAAAGGACCTCAGTCCCCAAGGAACCAACTGAATAGTCAGTCAGCCGGGAAGGAGACTGTGGCAGAGGAGAACTCCGTAGGATGTGAAGCCCCTGGGGAAGATGAGGCTCACTCTTCTTTAGAGCAGAGTACATGCAGTGTGGTAGTCCTTCCAAAACCTCAGCCCCAGAGGCTGGCTAAGCATCAGTCAGTGGCAGGGAAGGGGGAGGATGCAGTTCCTGGAGGTTTACAAACGACGGAGCATGGAAAGGTTTCTGAAAAGTGTGATGATGCAGTTCCTGGAGGTTTACAAACGACGGAGCATGGAAAGGTTTCTGATCACATACAATGGTTTAATAAACTTTCCCTAAATGAACCAAACAGAACAAAAGTGAAGTCACCTCTAAAATTTCAGCGTACTCCTGTCCGCCAATCTGTCAGAAGAATCAATTCTTTGTTGGAGTATGGCAGGCAGCCTGTGAGGCAGAAGTTGTCAATCCTTGGTGATGCAGCTTCTCCTCTGGTAAAATCAGTCAGCTGTGATGGTGCTCTTCCCTCTTGTGTAGAAAGTACATCAAAAGATTCCTCTGTTTCATGTACTAAATTAGGTCGTGAAGCACAGAAGTCTATGTCATTCGATAAGTCAAGTAATGCAATTTCAAAATCCAGTGTTGAATTAACTTCTAAATCTTTCTCAAAAGTGAAGACATATCCAGATACTCTGCATGCTTCTCTTGGAACTACTAGACTTTGTAAACAGGAGAGCAAATCTGATGGTCAAATTAAGTTTCCCTTGGATGATCTCACTAATCATGATAGATTAAAATTTGTTGTAAATAATAATACGGCCTTTTCTTGTGAAGTAAAAAGAAGAGTTCTTAGGAAACCACCAGAAAAAGAAAGGGTCTGGTACAAAGGTTCTCCCAAAAATCCTATTGGAAAAACTCAACTACTACCAACAAGTAAACCTGTAGACTTGTAACTGACAAATGTAGTGTTTGTCCTTAGTGTAAATAGTTAGCAATTGGTGGGATGACTTGCAGGATAATTGTGTGCTGTGTGTGCCTAAGGATGCTTGTTAAGCCGGTTTTCTCTGAAGCAATCTCACTGCTGGAACAATTTGGTTTTCATACTTGTACATAGGGCTACTTTGTCTTTGTTACAGAAACATTTAAACTTTATTGTGATTTCTTGAAGCAAAGGTTATAACTAAATTTTAAAAGAAATTGTTGGCTAGATTTATTTAAGTGGGGGGGGGGTCATGATTTTTGTTTTGTATGCCTAATAGGAAGTTGTGCTTGTTTTTGGTTATTCCTCCAACCAAGTCAGAAATATTGTCCATTGTAAATCTGCTATGTAAAGGGATTGGGTAGTCCCTGCAAATCTTATGTCTTGAATTATATTCATGTTTGTTGTCTAAATCCTAAAAGTTGATTTGCTTCTACTCCTGCTTAGGGAGAGGAATTTGGTTAGTGTCTCCTGTAGGTGTATACATATACAAGGTTTCACTTGAATTTTGAGGTAAGGGCAGTGATTAAATCAGAATGATGACTAAGTTGCATTCATACATCATGGTATTGAAGTAATTTATTAATTTTAAGCCATACTTCATTTTGAAGGTAATTTTGGTCTATTTTGTCCAATATGAAAATGAAATTTTTAAGGAGGAATAATTAAACTTGAAAATTTTAATCAAGGTTTTTATCCTATGAAGAGGGTTGATTTTAGAATTTGAATTGTTAATGAACCTCTATACATTATGCTTAGATAGTTTATCTGATAGTTTATCCTGTGTTTAAATGTTATTTATTTAGCATACACATTAAATGTAACTTCTGGAAAATGTCTTGCCTTAGAGTGTTGTGTTTTAGGTGCAAAGCATTGCATGTGAGGAACTTCAAGTCCTTAAGTTTGCTTGAAACTTCTACTTGAAGATGTGTCTATTATTTAGACTTATGTGTGAGTGTTTTGTCTGCATCTGTGTATGTAAACCCATGTGAGTATAACACATGTGTGCCTGTTCTCCTCTGAGCTAAGAGGGGGTTGGATACTCTGGGTGATAGTTATTATGTCAGCTTCTGAGAACTGAACCCAGGTCTCTATATAGAGCTGAGAACCAAACATGTGTCCTCAACAAGAGAACCATGTGCTACAAGTGCTCTTAGACCATCTCTTCTGCCCCAAATTTCTGTTTTATTTCAAGGTTATTTCCTGTGTTCCTTATCCTTTCCCAGAACTAGTATATGGTTTACATAAAACTAAAACTCTCCAGCCTTAAACTTCATACAGTCTAGCCATACATTTTAGCTATGGCAGGAATAGGTTGTGGATCCCTTACCTAAAATTGATGAGAAGAGAAATCTCAGATTTTTTAATATTTGCTTTACTGATTAAACATCCCTGAAACAGAAAGCTGAAACATTTTGAACTAAAATCTCAACATATACTAAGAATTCCGTTATGATGTTAATATCTGTAGTTCCTGAGCAGTGCATGGTGGAGTATCCCTGTGAGACTAACACTTAGGAGATGAGATGTACGATGTGGAGCTCTTGTCTCAATTTTTTAAATGGAAAAAAAAATCTACAAAATCAACATTTAACATTCTAGATCATTTCATAATTGGGAGTTGGGAAAATTTTAAAATGTGGTTTCATCTTTGTATTTTTTTAATACATAATAAAGATGGTTAGTAATTTCATGAGCTATATGAACAGACAGTATACATTTGTCTTTTCCAAAGTGAAAAGTGATGTGTACAATAACTTTAAGAATTATTTAGTTAAGTGTACCAGCACATGTCTTTAGTGACAGTCTCTCAGGAGGCTGAGGTAAGTTAAGATGATTTAGATCAGCCTTGGTAAGAATCTTGTATTCCAGCTTGAATGTGAGATGTCACCCACAGGCTTTTGCTGAAAGCTTGGTTCCTATGTAGTGACACTATTCTGAGGCTGTAGAACCTTCAGGGATCCCCGGGGGTGTGCCTCTGAGCACATGTGTGCTCCCCTGACTCCATGTGCTCCCACCATCATGTTCTGACTCACTGGGTTCATAAACTAGTGGAGCCAAGGATCATGTACTGAAATCTCCAAAGTTGTGTGCCAAGATAAATGTTTTTCCTTTACCTCAGCATTTTGTAAGCAGAATAAAGGCTTACATACTCTGCCTCCAAAGTACAGTGAGTGCAAAGTGAATCATAGATATTTTTGGTGTGTTTCAGGCAGCTACACAGCCAGCAAAATGTAGTAACCCATTTTTCCAATCTTGACTATACTGAACAACTTGAGAATAAACAGTATTCATTAGCAGTAAATATTGTGTACCATCCTAAACTTGAGCCTGGAGCCAGCAGACTATTTGACAAAAAGCATCTGGGAAAGAAAAAAAAGGAAAAAAAAAAAAAAAAAAAACTATTGGGAACGATGCCTGGCTTTACACAGGAAGCCCTCTCACAAGTCTCACTACCTGCATTCATTGTATTAAAATGCTAATGGGTTTGCTGCTCCAAGCTGCAGTAAGAGCTGAATTCTAACTTCATCGTGGAAGTTCCTGTGTTTCCCGGAAATTTCCCCAAAGGACTCATTCCTCGTTGTTTGATGGGCTTTGTGGTGTCTACTCAGGTGTTTCTTTCCTTTTTCTTTCTTTCTTTTTTTTTTTTTTGTTTGTTTTGTTTTTTGTTGTTTGAGACAGGGTTTCTCTGTGGCTTTGGAGACTGTGCTGGAACTAGCTCTTGTAGACCAGGCTGGTCTCAAACTCACAGAGATCCGCCTGCCTCTGCCTCCCCAGTGCTGGGATTAAAAACCTGCGCCACCACTGCCCAGCTCTGGTGTTTCTTTTAGGGCTGGAGTCTCATAAGACCCTGGCTTCCATCACCAGCACCACACAATATAACAAATTCAGGTTTGCTTAGGCAAGTTCTGCATGTCCTTCCCGTATGGTTTCTCTTGGTGAACTTTAGAAGCAATGCTGAGAGCTCTCAGAACCTCCAGGTGCCCTGAGGTGTTAAAGAAAGGTGCAGTAAAGGCATCACTGTCGCCACAAACCCTTTGGACTTGGATTTTTGTTAGTCACCCCTGCCATTGGCACATTCAGGATAAATGCACGTTTTGTCTCATAGATGGGTCTTTTATGTTTTCTGTGTGGATGTAGGTCATGAAACTAGATTGGACAGTGAAGGGGGAAAGCTTAAGTGAGGGGGGTTAAGGAAAAGATACTAGAAGAAATGTATAAAAATGCCAGCAGGAAGCCCGTTTGTATTCTAATTTAAAAATCTAGAAGATGCAGAATTAAAGGTGTGCTGCTTAGTGGTGGTCTACATTTAGGTAACTGCTTCAGACTGATAACGGAGGTGAATGACGTTTGTAGGGTTGATGCAGAAAGGGAGCACTGGAGAAATCATGAGATGCCTGGGCTGGAGTGGAGGCTTCAGGCCAGAGATGCAAGCCTCTGGAAAGCCTTTCAGGAACTCTGGGAAGTCTTCCACCTGCTGGGGGCGGGGCCTGGGTGGAGCTAGGATGCTGAGGGAGGTGACGTAGGAGCTATCCAGCTCGTCAGTCCCTGCTTTGGGCCAGATTGCAACAGGCTCGCCCGTGGCCCCACGGTATATTCTGCCTTGAAGCGGCCAGGCTAGACAGCCGGCAGAACGTGGGAGTTCATAAGGTAGGAGAGGATGTCCTCCAAAAATCCTTGAACTTGAGGCTGGGGTCAGACAAAGGATGGGTGTGGGGTTTACAAGGGTTGGCTATAAATAAGGGGTGGGAGAAAGAGTTCCGAGTGCGGTGATTGGATAGTTCATCAGTTGGCTGGCCAGTAAAGAAAACATCCTGCATTCAGAGAGTTCATGGGGAAAGATGGAGATAATGGAGCCTGGTGCCTGCATCCGGTCCTTTCATCACGGCTGTAGACAGCCACCCTCAGCTCTTTGTGGAGCAAGGCTAGGAAAGACCTTTAGCTGGAGAAAAAGGACATTAAACGAAATTAATATTTCAATTTTAGGAGCAATGCTCGGCTTGTACCCCACTGTTCCAATCTCTACCCCTTTGGATGTTCAGAGGGGTTTATCTGGCTGTTGCCTGGAGCACCCTTCCAGGGACCCTGTGTGAATACTGTTTCTTTGCTCTGCAGGCATATCCACAGACACCAACATGTAGGGCAGGTTGACAGCCCACATAGTTCCCTCCCACCCCTCCCCCCAACCATCTCTCTCTTCCCTCTCCTCCCTGCCGCCTACGCAGACTCAACTTGTAGAACAGTGAACCAGAACAGTGAACCGATGCTGCCAGCATTGGAATAGAAGTGCAGGGGGCTCACTGTGTACCTGGCTTTGCTCCATGCTCCTATACATGATTTTGATCTTTATCTTAACAGTGACTCTATAAGATGGATTGTTACTATCCTCCTGCAGAAGAGGCTGAGGTACTTGCCCATGATCACCTAGGTAGTGCACAGAGAAGCAAGTGCCTTTCATATTGCCTTCCACATGGCAGGGCAGGACCTGAGCTCACAGTACTTCTCAGGATCTTATTGTATTGTTTGTCTGCTAAGTTAAAACACCCTCTGCCACCACTCTAGAACATTCCGTGGGCTTATTATTATTACTATTTATTGTTATTATTATTATTATTATTATTATTATTACTGTTTGAATATCCATAACCCCTTCTCATTACTCTTTTCTTCCTTTAAATTGGGAAAACTCAAAATACCACCCTCCTTTTCTCAAAACTGAAAGTGCTTAGATTACAAGAAAAACAGACCATAGGTGTGAGAACCATTACTCCGGCTTAGTCTTCTCAAGTAGCAAGTTAGAGGGGCTTGCTTAGCCTAGACTCTTTTGTCCCTTTACTTCCTTCCCACAGTGGTTTCCTGCCTGGCTTGAACACTTGACACAAAGCAAACCTCTAGGAATTTTTCACTGCAGTCTCCTTTCAGGGTGGTCCTTCAGCCTCAAGCTGTGATTCATCATTATAACCCCACAGTAGTGTTATTACAGTTGCCAATTTGGGCCGAGTTATAAACTTGGTCCTTTCTTCTGCAGGTGAAAAATGGCCTCAAGGATGATCTCTGCCCTGCTATCTGGCCTGTTGTTTTGGTTGATGATCGACTGGAATCCAGCATTTGCTTATAGTCCACGGACCCCTGATCGGGTCCCTGAAACAGACATTCAGAGGCTGCTCCATGGCGTTATGGAGCAGCTGGGCATTGCCAGGCCACGGGTGGAATACCCAGCTCACCAGGCCATGAATCTTGTTGGGCCACAGAGTATTGAAGGTATGCACTGTTCCTAACTGACCATGTTTCCATTGCGTTTCTGAGGCTACTGTCTCCAGTTACCAGGGTTTTTTGTTTTGTGGGATGGAGGGGGGGGCTGTTTTTTTGTTTTGTTGGCAGTCTCATGTAGACCAGGCTCACCTTGAACTCCATGTGTAGCCAAGGATGACCTTGATCTCCTGATTCTCTTGCCTTTACCTCCCAAGTGCTAAGATTAGGGGGTAGGGATCCAACTTTCTGAGAAGCTGAGGAGGAAGCTGGGGCTGTGGACCACATATTAAGCAATCACTGTGCAGGTCTATTTCTCCTTCATGTTCTAAATGGTGGTACATACATAACACATCCATGAGGATGGCAAGACTACCGCTCGTGAATTTTTCCAGTTTTCCAAGTTCCTGGTGTAAAAGGAGTTCTTAATTGGTCTAAATAATAAAACCTGGGGTCAGATATAGAGGAAAATTCTGAGTGAGTGATCAGAGAGAAAAAGGAGCAAGCCACAGTCACACCTTACCTCCTAATGTCTCGATGGACAAGAAGGCAAGTTCCTGTTTCTTCCCGCTTATATCTTCTCTTCAGCCCAGCCATCTCACTTCCTGTCTGTCTGTACAGACCTCCAGACCTCCAGACCTCCGTGGTTAGATAGTGGCAAGCTCCATTCTCTGATCTTCAGACAGGCTTTATTTGTACAATCGAGATAGCACCACATCCTGGTAATGTCCTTATAAAAATTTCATTTGTTTGCTGTTTACTTATATGTCAAAAGAGTCTTCCTCTTGGGAGTGGGCAATGTATTTCATAGAAAAATAGGAATTCTCTCTTTGGAGTCTCTCAAAAACCACATCTGGCAAGTGCTGTTTCTGATGGGTAGATGCTGCATAATGTTTCCTGCCGTGTGATTAGCTTAACAATGCTGTCTGCTCCAGAGGTCTGTGCTAATATATGATTCCCATTTTCTGTCTTGTTGCCCATCACATCAGAATGGCTGTGTATTTTGGTTGACATTTGTCGAGAGTAGCTTAGCCCAAATAATTTGAATATGCAAGCATGCAACTGTAGCAAATGCCTTGCAGCAAGATAAATCAGATAGGTCTCCTTGCCATTATTCTGTTAGGGAGAAGCTAAACCCTTATGGCATCAGCCACCTGTTCCTGTTTATTTAATGGTCTGTTTTTGAGATGGTAAATATATCTGCCCTTTCGCCACCAGTGAAGTGCACGGTTAATCACTCTGTCATGGAGAAGGTTCTTGCTGCTGCCATAAGCCTTGTTTGTTATGCAGAGCCTCATTTTATTCACTCCAAGTATGTATCATACTCTATGTGCCTGCCATTGTGCAGAACACCTGGACAGTTCTGCCTTAAATAACCCATGCTAACCAGGAGAAGGGAACTGGCAAAATGTCATTGCAGTGTATCCTGATACATACATGAAGACTGGTCAGGAATTGGGGGGGTGGGGGAAGCCTATAAGGAAATGCTTCTTAGAAGTAACATTGGGCCTGGGTTTTGAAGTTTGCATAGGAAACCCTCAGGGAAGCATGGTGAAAGGCAAGGAAGAATGAAATAGCATGGATTACAATAAATAGAGTTAATGAGTTCCTATCTTTATCCTTGAGGTAATGAACTGTCATAGAGTGAGGACAACTCTCCCCTCAGGGATGCCTGTGGACTTGGGCTTTCATTGACTATTGCTCTACAATGAACTACCCCAGCATTAGCCATTTACCAGGACACATTTAACTGGTCACAGCATTGACAGTCTCACTCCATTCAGAGTCACACCCAGGTGAATTCAGGTGTTGACCAGCAATGAAAGCAAGCTTGTGTGGGAGCATTTAAGCTCATGGTGGTGAGCGAAAGACTTCATTTCCATGCAGTTGTCAATCCAAGCTCCCTGTTGCTTGATGGCTGTCAGCTGGGTCCCTTTCAGCTCTCAGAGGCCACCCTTGGGTAGCATGCAGAATATCCTGAACAGGAGTGTTCTTTGCAGCGTTTTACTTCTCCATTACCAGCTCCGTTAGTGTGATAAGGGCCATATATCGGATCTTGGGAGTGATGTTATCTCACCACCTTTTATCTAAGATGATAACCCAGTTTTCTCCAGTCTCCACTGCAGGCAAGGGCAGAGACTCTTGCAAGCTCCTCAGCAGATAAGAACCTTGAAGCCATTTTAGAATTCTGACTCTTTTTTCTTTTCTTTTTTTTTCGAGAATTCTACCACTGAACTACCCATGAGACAGGGTTTCCTCTGTGTAGCTTTGTAGACCAGGCTGGCCTCGAACTCACAGAGATTTGCCTACCGAGTGCTGGGATTAAAGGCGTGTACCACCACCACCCAGCAAGAATTCTGCCTCTTACAGCTGAGGTGAAAACTGACAGGAAATAGTCCAAAGACAGTGGGGGAAAAAAAAAAAACACAACTCCTGAGTTTTTCCCAGTCCATCTGGGTTTTAATTGAATGGCCTGATTCTTACTCAAGTAAATATATCATTGTTTCAACTCGTCTACCTGTCAGTTGTGCCATTTTCATTCTCTAATAGCATCAGAAAGAATCAGTTAAAGGTATGTCCCCCTGCCCTTAGCATTCCCCTCCCCAGTTTTTATAGAGAACATACATAGTACACATATTGTTGTATAAATCTTAACACATATTTAATGTGGCTACTAGTAAACATCTCCCTGGATTTAAATGCTAATTCATTTCCATGAATGACAAGTGGCTACCATACCACTTACTGGTGGTGTCATCTTTTAGCAACTTATTTAATTTCTTTGTTTCTGTTTAGCTTAAGTGCTTCTCTGAAGGTACCTTAAAAATAACTGAGTAGGAGCATCTTCCAAATGTATAAACTCTTGGCCAAAAGTAAGACAAGAGGACAAAGTAAAGACTACTAGAAAGTGGCCCTATGTAAAGGACAGCATGACCTTCAGTGGCAAAGAAACCGAATCTATGTCATGTTCACATTGTTTTCTGGCTGTGTGTGATCTCCATAACTTCTCTGGAATATGATTTTCTTAGGCTTCCTTCACACGCAGTCCCAAGAGCAGCGTGTGGGTTTTGCTGGTTTGTCAGGTTTATGTGCACGTATGTCAGTGTGAGGATGCCCTGGAAATGGAGTTACAGACATTTGGGGGCTGTCATGTGGGTGCTGGGAATTGAACCCATGTCCTCTGGAAGAGCAGTCAGTGCTCTTAAGTCCTGAGCCATCCCTCCAGCCCCCTGGTTTGTCAGTCTTTGTTTGGTATTTGAGACAGGATCTCATATAGCCCACCCTGGCCTTGAATACCTCATGTTAGCCATGGATGACCTTGGGTTTCCCATGCTCCTGCCTCTACCTCCCGGGTTCCCGGTCCTGTTTCTGACCACTCACCGCAGTGTTCAGCCTTTCTGCACCTTATGCTTCTGCATCTTCTCCCAGCTTGTGGAGCAGAGCCCTGTGACATAGCTAAATGGAACTCTTGTCATTGTGCCCTCAGAAGCAAGACAAGCTAGTGGTTGTCACAAGGGCCGACCTGGAGAGCGTTTTTTCTAAGGTTGAGGTCTTGGGAGAGCGGAAGCTGCTGCTGCTCACTGACACAGTCTTAGTGAACTGGGGTGGATCAAACAGTCAAGCTCACAGAATGCTAACGACATCCAGTTAAAAATAAAAACCAAAGCAACACCAAACTGTTCTAAGGTGTCAGCTGTTTCTTTCCCCACACTTTAAGCCATTGGATATTAGCATTGTGATATCACTGGGTTTTAAACCATTAAGGCAGATATGTATAAGTATTAACATTTGATGGTTCTAAATAATTTATACTCAGATTACTAAACTTAAAAATGTCAAAAAACTTTTTTAGAAACACTGACTTGGAACTTCAATTTATTTTTTTTAATTAAGAGAACTGAAACTTTAAAAAAAATTATATCAAATAGGGGGAAAGTCCTTCCTAAGGATAGCATTCGTGAAAAGGCAGGCAGGTTTTAAGGAGCCTGCTACCCTTGGCCAGCCTTGCTGTGTAAAGGAGCTGCAGTACCTCCACCCTGCCACAAAGTGGCAATGTTTGCCTCCTGAACAAAGGCTGGAGGAAGGCAGGTTGTAAACTTGGAAGGGCTGAAGAGCAGCCTCACTTTGTTTCTAGATAGTCTCTGTCTGCATTTAGAGGAAGACAGAAAGGCTGTCTTTTGTTCCAGATGCCTTGACTAAAGTCTGTTTCTCAGTTTTTCCCATTCTAGAGGAATCAATGAGAACACCAGTTTGCAACTCACACCACCTACATCTGTTCCTCCAGTCTAGCTATCTTGAGATCACACACACTACTGTAATTCTTTAAAAAGAGCCTGGAAAATGATTTTAAGCATCCTTTATGTATCAGCTGCCTGGATAATAATAAGAAAAGTTTTAACGGTATGTAGGTTAGGGAAGATGAAAATGGTTGTTTGGCATTCCAGGGCCTCTGGAAAGGGGTGTGAAAGTGGTACTTTGGATATGCATAATCCAAGAGAGATGTCTGGGTGAAGGAGGGCTTTTTGGCATCATCTCTGTGTTAGCAGTGGCTGAGGCTGTGGCGTGAATGTGGTGTCCCAGGAAACATTGAATATGGAGACAGAGCACCTACTACAAACTCCCAAGAGCTCCACGAAGAAAAGCCAGGTAGACAAGAATCTGCAAAGGGAATTGGGGGACTGGGAAGTAGCTCCATAGTAGGCATTTGCCTAGCTAGCTTGCAGCCCTGAGTTTTCAAAATGTGGAAGGGCATGGGAAGAAGAAGCAAACAGACTGATCAGAAAGATGAGCACCAAGAAGAGCAGAGAAGAGAAACTCTTGTCTTCGGGGGGGGGGGGGAGCTATCGTTATGACTAAACAGAAATTATCAGAGCCTTAGACAGAGCAAGGCTGAGAAGAATCAGGGGTGTGAGGTGAATCCACAATGCAGTGGACTGAGACAATAGTGGGAAAAGGGGGAAGAAGATAAATGGAAAAAAACAAAAACAACAACCAAAAAACCTATCCCAGAC